GTTGGTTGTAATAATGATGTCGTTGATGGCAACTAGGATGTCAGTGATCAATTAATCAACAAGAATTTGTATAGTGCAATTTACCGTCGGTGATGGCAAGTACTGATGTCGGTGATGGCAGTACTGATGTTGGTGATGGCAGTACTGATATCAGTAATGGCAGTACTGATGTTGGTGATAGTAGTAATAATGTTGGTATGGCAGTACTTATGTTGATGATGGCAGTACTGATATCAGTAATGGCAGTACTGATGTTGGTGATAGTAGTAATAATGTTGGTGAAGGCAGTACTAATGTTGATGGCAGTACTGATGTTGGTGATGGCAGTACTGATATCAGTAATGGCAGTACTGATGTTGGTGATGGCAGTACTAATGTCGATGATGGCAGTACTGATGTTGATGATGGCAGTACTGATGTTGGTGATGGCAGTACTGATGTTGGTGATAGTAGTAATAATGTTGGTGATGGCAGTACTGATGTTGGTGATGGCAGTAATGATGTTGGTGATGGCAGTAATGATGTTGGTGATGGCAGTACTGATATCAGTAATGGCAGTACTGATGTTGGTGATAGTAGTAATAATGTTGGTGATGGTAGTACTAATGTCGGTGATGGCAGTACTGATGTTGGTGATGGCAGTACTGATATCAGTAATGGCAGTACTGATGTTGGTGATAGTAGTAATAATGTTGGTGATGGCAGTACTAATGTCGGTAATGGCAGTACTGATGTTGGTGATGGCAGTACTGATATCAGTAATGGCAGTACTGATGTTGGTGATAGTAGTAATAATGTTGGTGATGGCAGTACTAATGTTGGTGATGGCAGTACTGATGTTGGTAATGTAAATAATGATGATGGATAATGGCAAAAATGTTGATGATATGATGCATTCAACCATGACTTCCACTCAGCTTAGACAAAACAATAACTTTTTTGCCCTAATGTATAGCATATCTTTCTGTTATGATTTCAGATGGTTTTACTGCAGATACTGTTGTGATTCCGATTGCTATCCTAGCGGATAGCATCAAAATCATTGGCGAAGATGCTGGTAATTTTAATGTGGAATGGAATGCCAGTTTAGAGGTCACCTATTCACAGGTGTTCTACAATCTGAAAATTACTGTTATTAACGGAGAGATTATATCAAAAGTAAGTGAGCATATTGAAAAAAAGTCATTTCACCCAGGAATATCATACTATCACTGTTAGGCCATCATGTTCACTTACTGTACTATTAGCCTGTCAAACTCCATCATCATCATCATCATCATTATTGTCATTATCAACACTGCCATCACATCATTAGGTTATCACTTTTAAAAAAAAAGTGATGAGGTCGGGCGGTTTTTTTTTTTAATCGGAACAATAGAATATTGCTTCTTTTTATCGATGAGGGAGGGACTGTTTTTATTTGGCAAGAATATTGTATGAAAAATGGTTGAATTTTATTGGTTTTTTTTTAAAGAAAATGTATTTCTGGTCACAAAATTGCATTGTTTTTTTTTTAATGCTGTTGAAATAAATAATGCGGCATTTTTAGTCCCGCATCAATATTTCCCAAAGTCTATTTCGTGAATACTTACCTGGATAAACAAACGTCCTCATTCCGTTTTCGACGTTCGTTGAAAGTGAACCTCGTAGTACCACGTGTCTTGTGATCACTACTGCGAGAAGGATTTTCTACCTTGGATTTTATTTTCAAGAAGTTGTTGGATTCTGGATTTTTACTTTTTTGCCTTGGATTTTATTTTCCAAGAAGGTGTTGTACGAAATATCCTTTTTGTAGCTGTTGGTAGTCTCTTTGTTCGCTATGTCTGCACCCAAGGCGTTGTGCTCGTCGTGTGGGGGCCCAAATCCGAGTGTCAAGCTCGATAGACACTCGGAGTGCCCTTTGTGTCATTGGTGTAGCAAAGCAGAGACTTGCGAGGTTTGCGTGCGCTGGCCCCCTACCAAGTTTGCGGCGGCTCTTGAATGGGCAGCTAAGGCTGCCCCTCGATCTCAGAGTTCGTTGCCAGATGCGTCGGGGGTTGTAGCGGCGTCGGATGATTCTCCTCCGCTGTTGGAGGGTCCGTCGGTCTCATCTGGTCCCTCGCCTTTTGCTCCGCTTTCCCCGGCTTTGGTTTCCTTGATTTCAGAACAGGTGGGCCGTGTTGCTAGGGAGGTTTTTGCCGGGATGAAGGTCGTTTCGGCTGTGCCTGTCCCGTTCATTCCCATTCCCCCGGTCTCTGACCCTCCTGTTGCGTATTTTTGGGCGAGAATGATATTCTAACAAATTTTTCTATGTGCCCTAATACTAGGTTCTTACAGGCTTATATCCATACATGCTATGATCAAATGTTTAAATCTGTTTTGATTTATTGTCTGTATTATTTTATTCCAATGATATTTTCATCAGGAGAATTTATAGGGATGATGTTATTCCCTACCTGACGTGTTATTTTACTGAATGCTCAATACATGCGAAAAAAATGTTAATGGGAATCGAACCCATGACTCTTAGATAAGTAGGTTAGGGTCTTAACACGTTGGCTGCTGGCGACGTGTATACTCGACTGTGGTTCTACAATGTATAACAAAGATGTTATAAACTCTGGAATGTTACACCAATTTTGAGAAGTATATTTGTTCCTAGCACCCTTAGCAACACCCTGTGGGCGAGTATAGACGTTACTGGCAGCCAGCGTGTTAATAGGAATGATTTTGCCCTACCTGACTTGTTATCGTATTGAATGCTTAGTACGTTCCTAAATACTTACAAATATAGAAATATACAATAGCTTTTAGAATGGCAATGTAAAGAAGAATGGTATTGTGTTTGTGTTTCAGACCAGACTTACTCAGCCCTCCTACAACATGAAAAACGTAGCACCTTACAGTCAGCTTAATATCACTGTGGAGGCATATACTTATTATGGTTTGGCACCCTCATCTCAATCAGCCCTTCGATCTCCAGAATCAGGTGTGTTGGGATAATTTTAATTATAATGGTGATGAATGTGTTGATGGTGGTGTTTATGATGATGAAGATTTGGAGGAGGGTGAGGATGAGAATGACAATGAGGAGAAGAATGATGAAGAGGATGAGTATCTGGATAAGAAACTGAGTCAAACCTGTTAACGCTCTAAAGCCATAGGGAGGATTATGAATTTGATGATGATGATGATGAAAGTAATGATAATGAATATTGTAAAGATAATGATAATATTAAGGATAATGACAAAAGTTATGATTGGGAAATTTATGTTGATAGTAGTAGTAATATGACAGTATGAAAAAAAAGTAAAAATATAGTGATACATACCATTGTAATTCTATATTTTAAGCTTTATTTTTTCATCTACAGTAATAAATTGTACAACCCAATCTGACTTACTAGTGATGAATGATGTTATAATAATTTAATTATGATGGTGATGATAATTGAAAATGGTGTTGAAAATTCTTATGATACGGTAAATGGGTACTGTATTATGAAAATATTTGATGATTATGATTTTGATATATGATTTTCTCATTTTGTTAATAATATTATTAAAAATATATTTTGTTATTGTTTCATATAACAATATTAACCTTCCCTACCTACTTCAGTGCCATCTATTCCACAAAATCCGAGAGTGTTTGTGTCAGAAAGTGGAGACCCATTGTCAAATGATGATGGGTACGAGGCAGAGTTTAGATGGGAAGCGCCCTCACTTTCTAATGGCATCCTTCTAGGATACAACGTTTACTGGGGAACAAGCCCCGACAGTCTTCAAACTGAAAACATTACAGATAGTACTACAACAACTTACAAAACTGCACTGGAGCCAAACACATTCTACTATTTTCAAGTAAGAGTTGATATTTCATTTAATTCTACCATATCTCTTATGCTGATTTGTATATAGTTTTCTCTACTTCAAGTTTATTTATATAATATGGATTTGATTCTGAAATACCGGTATACTAAACGTTCAATCAGTGCTCATGCATACATTTTTATAATGTTTGCATACACTTGCAACTGGAAGAATTTTACCAACTTAGACCTTACATTATACAGATATACTTAACATTTTTTCTTACTATTTTTCAGGTGGATGCATACACAAGAGTAGGTAGTGGTGGTAGGACCCAGCTTATCAGTACCAATACGAGCGGTATGTGTTGAAGATACAGTATTAATTTTCTTTCACTTTTAATAGTACTTATCTCAGCAGCCTGTTTTTTAATGGAGTGTAAATGATAATGTACATGTACTTGGTAAAATGAATTAAATTAAATATGCAGCTCTGCATGAAGACGTAAAGAGTTATAAACCACTAGCGGGGCGGATTCAGGGGGGGGGGGGTTGGGGGGGGGGGGGGGGCCCGGCCCAGCTAGATCTATTGTATTGAAACCTTTGGTGTCAAGTGTTAAATCAGAAGAAAGATAGCAGTAATTACTTTTTATACATAATTTGTATTTTTATTATGCTTAAGTTTTTCAGTTGTTTGTTTATATGTTTCATATTGATGTATCTTTCTTTATGTTCCTGCAGTTACTGTAAGTGATTAAAAAATGTCTATTCAGATTTTAATTGACTACCAATGACAAAGCTCTTTTACGACATTTCAGCTCCGACTCCTGTCCCGACGGTACTTGTGTTCGGTGCTTCCGGTTTTGATCGCATTGATCTTGACACTAACACTAAGGAAAGCATTGGACTAAGTGACGTTCTTGCATTAGGCTACATCGCCCAGCGTAATAACATGCTGTACTACATTGACGGGTCAGATAAATCCATCAAGCAAGCTGAGGAGAATGGGGATAACCCTGAAGAGGTAACTAAATAATGGAATCAAGTGGAGATGCCCACATTAAAATTGTAAAATCTTAGGTTCAATCAGTGCTGATGCATACATTTTTATGATGATCAATAACAATGAGCTATCGGAAGAATAATGTGATATTTTGCTTAAACTACTTGCATACCTATTTTACGGCCGCTAGTTAGTCACAGGCCACGCCCATCAGTACAGTGATACTGTGAGATTTATGGGTTATTCTACCTACCTTTACCTTTAAGACAATTGATGGTGAAAACTACTATCAACATTAGGCCAAATAAAAAAAAATGATTGTGTTGGCCATGTCTGACCGACCCAAATTTTACGAAATTCAGGGTCAGCATTTTAGATTTTTTTTTTTTTTTGACTACAAGGAACAATATTTTTTTTTTCATGAGCTAATAAGGCTGGAATAGCCTTGGACTAGGCTAGGTAGCCAAGGCCTAGCCTATTTTGGTGCATGGTACATGATCCAAATCCAAAATTGTTGTATTATTTGTGTATTTTATGTTTTTTAAGAGGAAACACACAAAAAAAAAGAAAAGTTTTTTCTACCGACTACTGATTTTTTTTTTATTTTCCCAAAACGTGGCCAACGCAAAAATTTATTTTTTTTGGCCTTATTTATCAATCAGTTTTTGTTGTTGATACTTCATAAACTGATAATTATTAGATATCCCTTTGTATATAATAGAATCATCCACCTCATTCATTCCAAATAATTATCTTACACCTCTATAAACAACAAAAAAAAAAGAAATGAGAAAGATATCTGTATGATTGGCATTCACATAATAGATGGACCTCCAGGTACTTTTTAGGGATGTTTTATTTTGGAACATTGGTAATTTTCTGTTTACAATGATTTGATATAAACTTACAGATACCTAGCATTGATTTTTGTAAATTTAGTTACTCTTCATTTGTTTAGATCCTTGAAATTGGAAATGATCTCGACAAAAGCAATGTTGGGTTCGCAGTTGACTGGCTGGCTCAAGCGATTTATTGGACTGAAAAGCAGAATGAAAACAGTATCATCTATTTTTATGACCTAACAATTGGCACCTTGGCAACCAAGACTGAAATTGTTGTAGATAATAATACCATCACTAGCCTAACGGTCAACCCCCAGGGCAAGTGAGTAGCACATACAGTATATTTTTTTACCTACGCCAAGGAGGTTATGTTTTCACCCCTGTTTATTTGTTTGTGTGTGTGTTTGTCTGTCTGTTTGTCCGTTTTTCCATTTGTGAACATTCTACAGGGCACAGTTTTCATCAGAAACTTCTCAAACTTGGTCACAATTATCCATGACCAAATATCTCGAGGCGATTAAATTTTAAAGGGCTATGGTCAAGGGTCAAGTTCACAATTGATGAAAAACTACTTTTTATATATAACAGCCTACAGCTAACAATTTTTGATCAGAAATTTGTAAAACTTTGTCACAATGTTCCATCACCAACAATCTAAATATGATTAAACTTTGAGGGTCAAGGTCACAGGCCAAGGTCACAATCATAAAAAAACTACTTGTTTATATATAAGACAGCCTACAGCCGACAATTATTTTTATCAGACATCCGTAAAGCTTGGTCATAATGTTCATAGACCAACAATCTAATGATAATTACATTTTGAAATGTCAGGTCAAAAGGTCAAGGACACAATCCACAAAAATTCTTTTATAACAGCTATGTAGGGAAAAAATAATGCCTCCGGACCACCCTAGGGGTAGGAGTTTTCAAAAGAAAATTCTCACACATGCATATTTGGAATCTCTGGTATGTGTGTATGCATGCAATGATTTGCTTTGGGTAATCCATTTGGTGGACCCAACAGATGTATATTTATGAAATGTGAAAGTGATTGGAGTTATGTTTTATGTTAAAACTTATTTATGTATGATTATGGCATTAAAATTATAATTATGTTTGTATCTGTATGTAATAGTTATAGTCTATACCCATTACATATACATTTTTATACTTATCTCTTAAAGTCAATTAATTTGGAGTGTGACAACTGGCATCCTAAAGACCTCGTTTTACTCTCCGAAGGCTAAGGACCATGGAATAATTATAATCTTGTTAATTCGGTACCAGGCCTAGTTTAGTAGTTGATATGTAATTCGGATAACCTACAACTAGCCTAGGCCTACTACTAGTACTACCCTAAGCCTCTAGGCCTAGTCATTATTCTTCCAAGTTTTCCCAAGATATCTCATGGTTTGAAAGTGCATGTGTGAAACGAACCAAAAATCTCGGAATATCAAACTTGTTACAACTTGTTAATAATTGTTAAATATTTGTAAAATGTAATATTTTCTGCTAGTGTGAAATGGGTATAAGATAAATGAAAATTTTAATAATTTTTTAATGACTTCTATTTTTTTTCAATCAGGCTTACCGCCAGACACTATTTCTGTTGACTCATCTCGTCTTTACTGGAGCAAGAATGGTGAGAGGCTGTTGTCAAGTGTTCTCAAGGCAGATGGTAGTGATTTTCAGACCTTAGCATTTGATGCTGAACTGATAGTGGCACTTGACAGTTCGATGCAGCCATACCCAGGTAATAATTTAACAAAATAATGCATTGTCTATTTTTTGGATTTTTTGAAAAGGAAAAAAAAAAAACAAACAAAAAGAAATTATTGATTGGCCAAAACACCTCAGAGGTCATTTCGTGGGGGCATTCCTTGATGCCTCGGGCATCTAGAAAACAAACATTTTGTGGGGGTCATTCCTCAACCCCTAGGGTAGTGTTGTCTCTCAATTGGTTCCCCTTTTGGCCCCTTCTGGATCCACCCCTGAGACCAACAACATCACTTAGTGTGATTTAAATAGTGCATTTTGCAATTATTTGCCTTTATGTACATTTTTACCCCCCAATCATAGAACCAAACATCATTCCATAAGCTGGTAGAATCACCACTAGGTATTGGATCATTACTAGTAACCCATTTATTGGATGGAGGGAGACATAGTGGATTGATAGATTAAGTAATTGCTGTGTGTAATTTTTGATGCTATTCTTTCCATTGTCTTAGCATCTGAATGCTTGGCTCCATTACCGTACAGTGGTACTGTAGGCTTGTTAGGCCGCACCAGCACTACCTTAACGTTAGATCTTACACCTGCCCTATTTGGCAGTGTCTGTGGTGAGATAGTAACAGCAGCAGTGGTTTACAAGCTTAAGTACACCGATGGAACAACCACTTTGGAGAAGGTGAGAGGAGTTCTAGTTTCACTATGAAAATATTTCCTTATTATTTGTATTCTATACAATCCTTTCTACAATACAAAAAACCACAACACACAAAAAATATCTAACTTACTTATTTATTTTAACACTATTTTTAGATTAAACATTTTTATTATGTACTAAATACTTACGAGGTACAGTAGTATATATTTTGATATCCTTTTTGGAACAGAAATCCTACACATACATTAAAATAAGTCATGGCAGATAAACACTGAATAATGCACTATTAAGTAGTTAATTCTATTGAATGTTAAAATAGTAGAAACAATATAAGTTTGTTACAGCTGGGCCCAACTGTTCCTGGGCCCCACCTGTTGCTTACTCGAGACGTAATTGAATTTTGCAGTGCACAGTAGTAGAGACGAGGGCTTATTCCGAGGTGGAAGCTACCCATGCCCAGCATACCCCCTAACGGAGTGCCTGCGTGCACCCAGGTGTGAAAGCGATGCAGTTTTCAACATCGTTGGGTTGAGCCCTGTTCTGGATACTTATACCGATAGCGCACATGCTTTTCAGAACTGTTTTTATTTCAAGTACTGTAGTTTAATTCAAAATTATTTACTGCTTGTTTTTCTTTTCTTGTTGTAAAGCGCATTGATGCTTTTTGTGGAATAAGCTATAGAAGAATGGAATTATTATTAAATGTCTGTCTATCTGACAATTTATGCAACCCTTTGAGATATTAGCAGCTTCAAATTCAGTTCAAAGATATCTTTCTCAATGATTTAAACATGATTTAAATTATATTTGATAACAGGATTCGACAAGTACATCTGTTGATTTGGTTGACCTGACACCATATACAGACTACTCTATACAGGTGTCAGTAAGTAATTACTATTCCACAGGAACACCTGTTCAAAATTCACCTGTAGTGTTCAGGACTGTTGAGGATGGTAAGTTTGGCTTATGGCATTTATTCAAATATATGCCCCTGCGTAGGATTCAAATATATGCCCCTGCGTAAGATTGCCACAAATTTTTCCTCCAATAAACACCCTGTTACGTTGATATTTTCCTTAAATAATCCCTCCCCTATTTAGTGTTTTTGACAACCATTCTAACAAAAATCACACATTTTATTAATTCCATTGATATTGTTGTCAGTAACTAAATTAAATTTTCCGTTACAGTAAAGCCCTATTAAGTAGAAACTTTAGGGACCAAAAAAATGTTTTCTGAATAGGGGTGACCCCTTAATAGGGGTTGTCCGTAGTGTTTAAAGATATACTTTCGCTTGTTTTGTGGCCGAAAGTGTCCCCTTAATAAGGGTGCCCCAAAGGATGAGTTCTACTTTATTTACGATATGGAGGAACATTTAGTGTACATCTAGATATTGGTTTTACACCAAAGAAACAAATACCTCCATTGAATATACATCTCTTTTGAATACAACATTTTCAGAAGAATATATAAATATAAACACTGTAAATAAATACAAAAAGCCAGTTAATGTCAGGAAATTAATAAGAACTAGATTATGAGATAATTTCCCTTGATTCTAGTGACATTCTATTGTTCTTAAATCTATATTCTAAGCCATTAAATGTTAAATGTTGATTTTCTTTTTTATAGTTCCCTCCGCAGTCCGAAACCCATTCGCAGTTGTGCTGTCACCTACTGAAGTAATACTAACTTGGGATGAACCCGAAACACTAAATGGTGACCCCTACACCATCTCATATGACATCGAGTTTGAGTACACTAACAGTGAAGACATCATTCAGACTGGCCTGTTAGTAGATGTAGTACGCAAGACAAATTCAACACATTTTAAGTATGACGTGGACAATCTGATACCTTCAGCAACATACTCTTTTAAGGTAGAAATTGAAGATTGAACTATCATCTGTTAAATTGTAAATTGTTTCATAATATCTTTGTTAAAACAAACTGAGATATTTTGGGTGATAGTGTGGGTCATTTTCCTTAGTCGTACATGGTCATCAATGTGTTGAAAGACAGCACATAATAATGATTAAGGCCACTATGTTTCCTAGTTTGCCTGTATAAAATAGTCTTTATTTTAGTTTTTGTATTAGAGATCATTGTACAACATTTACTTAGATTCCATTTTACTGGCTTGGGGTTGATACACAGTAATCCAGTTTTCAGTGGTTTTTATTTTATTTTTTATATAGCTATCATTACATAATGCAAGTTATAAATTGATTTATTGAAATTCTAATTTACTGGCTTGGGGACAATATATTCCTTCAGATTATTTTAATTGTTGTTATTTTTGTTGTTGTTGCTGCTGTTGTTATTTGTTAAGTCTTAGTCTTAGAGCCCATTGTGCATTTCACTTGTGTCCTTGTGCAAGGCACTTCATCTGCATTGCTTCTCTCCACCCAGGAGTATAAATGGGTACCTGGTGGGGTTGCCTGCTCCTGTACTGATTACCAGCAGCATGTCGACCCAACGACCAAGGGAAATAAACTGAGGCGCATTATAAATGCCCATACTAGTACCAGTACTGTCCTGCGTTAGCAAAATAAATAGGGACTCAGGGTCTAGTGATTGTAAATAATACTTTTGCAGGTTTCTTCAGGATTTCTGACAATAAATTGTTCTGGTAAATCACCCCTGTTTGTGCATCAATTAATAAATATCGTACATGATAACCTTCTCACCAATAGATACTTGCCTATTCTATGTTACGTGATAAAGAACCCAGCACAGCTGAAGTAGATGATGTAACTATGTTTGAGATGCCTGGGCAACTGCTGGTAATGGAGACTACCAACTTCTCCATTCAATTAAACTGGACCTCACCAAGCGATGGCAGTGTTGAGAGTCATGAATACCAGTACAAACCGGTGGATGTAAGTGAAATTGTGTTGTCTCAATTTATCATTTCATAGCAGGATTTAGTACATTTTAACATTCAGTAATCATCCTTCCATCATTACTATCATTATCATCATCTTCATTCTTATCTTCATATTTCTTACCAGCCTCATTATAAACATGTCATTATCATTATTTGCATAATAATAATAATGATAATAATAATAGTAATAATAATAACCTTATTTCATAAAACGCAAACAATATCCATTTAAATTGTTTACAGAATATAAAAAAATAGAAAATTGCAAAGAAAACAAAGATCAGTATATATAATATCCATTGAAAGTTATTATTTTCATCATTATCGTCACCATCTTCACTATCATCATCAATATCTGAATCACCATGATTATCACTGTCATCATCATTCATATCATCTTAATTATCATTTGTATTGTATTACAGTAATTGTGGTACAACCATGTTTCTTAGTAAATTTTTCAAATATCTGAAGTCAGTTATTTTTAAATAATATTAGAGTTCCTGGTTGTTATGGGGAACAGTTGAAGCAACAACCTTAAACAGAGTGTACGAGGTAACAATCGGCAACGACTCGCACCCTCTGAGCAGTAACACGCAGTATGAAGTACGAACTAAGACTTACTATGCTAGTGGTAGGAGTTCATTCTCTATTGCCAACTCAGTTTCAACTGCAGGTATGTAATAATGAAAATGGTAATGACACTAACAATGATGGAGATAATGATAATGATAATGATAGAGAAATGATGATGTTGCCCATGTTCAGGCAACCCAAAACATTGGAAAATATAGGGTCACTTTTTTTTTTATATTTTACTATTTATTCTTTGTAATACTTTATTGTTTATTTACAAAAGGCTAATTTTAAATCTTTTAAATGTAATAAATTTCTTTCAATAATCTTGCGATTAGTATTTTACTTGCCAATTTACATGGAGTGATTGAAAGTTAATCATTAATATAGAATTCAAGCTTGTCTTTAGAGCTAAATAGAAGTTTGAAAAATCCTGGCCACCAACCCTAATTTGGATTTGTTGCTGTGCTGTTACCCTCTTTAAAAAATAAATAAATAAATAAATAAATGCAATTGTGCAAATTATGAAAAAAGTTTTTATACTAGAAATGAATGAAAAATGTCAACTTTAACCCTTTACCTCTCCATTCCCCATGCCAGCTGGACTTCCTGGTGCTCCAGGTCAGCCGTCCGTAGAATCAATTCAAGTGGCTTGGAAAGAAGCTGATAACAACGGAGCAGAGATCAAGCACTATATTCTCCAAGCCAGGTGGGTAAATGCTTTTGAGGATAGATTTCAAACTTGTCTGTATTTAAAATTAATGTTGAGGGCAGCATAATGTAGTTGAAAACTGGGACCACTTTATGTGTGAACTGAACCATTGAGATGTTTGAATTTATGTTTTTATGGCATTTTAAAAATTAATTATTGCTATTATCAAACAAATACAAAAATTCACGAATTTAATCAAAAATCAATATTCAACAGGAAATATTTATCAACATAGAGAAATATTCATCAGTTATAACTGACTTAGCTGAGTTGCTCTTTTATTAGTATTTATTTATTATTTATTTATTTTCAACAATCTTTAATGAGGGTGGTCCATCCAGCCGAAGCTGATCATTAGGGACCCTCAGTACTCATAGTAAAACAAAACAAAAAAGAGAGTATGAAAATAACTAATAGTAATATACTGTAAGTAAATTTAGACTACAGTAAGTTGCTGCCCAAATGAAATAATCAATAAAACAAGAATGAAAACAACAAAAAAATAATTAAAAAAATATAAAACTAAATAAAAATATATAGATAAGGAAAAAAAAGTGACTACCTTTCTTTTCTTAATTTACAAAATGAAGTAATTCAAAGTAATAATATTTAATTATTTATTTGTATTCTCATCTAATTGTTCTTTTAGTGTCCAGCCAGATGGGTCATGGTACGTTGTATATACAGGTGCTGATGCATTTTGGATAATCGCTAATCTAACTGACAAAACCACCTACCTATTCAGAGTAGCTGCTGTGAATGATATAGGCCAGGGAGATTTTAGTATAAAAAGTGCCCCCTTTGATCATATCAGTCCAACAAAAGGTGAGCACATAGTTGTACTTTAGCAGCCTGTATTTTTTTTTTCTTTGCTCCAATTTCTTTCTGCTGAGATTTACTTGGCAACTTATTTCTGTAGTCTTATACACGTTAATTTAAAAAATTGTATTGCCTACTATGATATTTTATACTGCTGTGTTAGCAGGTTTGAGCTATGGTTGCATTGAATTATTTTTATGCCATATGAAGAGTAACTTTACCAAGTAACCATCTGGCTCAGTCACATTGTCGCTTTGGCCCCTATAGAGAGATGAATACAGAATTTATGCCATAACAATCTTTATTATTTTTGACTTTTTTTTTATTTTTTAGGTCCAATTACTTCAGAAGATAACAGCATTGTAATAATCGTCGCAGTCATAGTTGCAGTTGTTTTGGTGTTGATAATTGTCGTGGCAAGTTTTGTCCTGTGTAAGTTTTCTATACAGTGTCTGTTTTCTTTTATTATTCATAAAAAGGACTTTATAATCGTATGCGAAAAAATCCAAGCGTGCATATAAGACTAGCCTCGTAGCTCATTTGCTGGATCACCTGAGTAAGGATTTTGAATGCCAAATGAAACAATGAAACAATTTTCTATGTTAAAAAGTCTCCAATATTATTAAGAATACTTTTGATAGTAGACACATTTGGTTTAAGGTAGTTAGACGATGATGCATAATTACCAACTATAATGATTTATGCAGTAGAGTTGACAACCGTTGACTGTTAGCTACATTTACATTTTGGCACATAACCCCATCACATTTACAAATGCCAGTATTTACAGTCAGGAGCAGACCTACTCACTGAAATAACATATGCCACCCTTGTAAATTATGAAGTTAAAACATTTTCCATCAAGAATTGAGCCTAAAATTTATGTTTTTTACTGAATAAAATATGTTTTTCTTTTAAATAAAGTAAAACGACGGAAGAAAAAACCGCAGCAAATCACAGTAAAATTCAACTCGGACACTGAGCTAGCAGCATTACGTCAGTACCCACAGAATCTTGTGAAAAGAGATAATCAAATCTATGCAGTGACGTAAGTAGTAAATTTATTTCATGAATACAGTATTACTTAGAAAAACCAACAATTGCATGTGTTTGCTTAATCAACACCCCAGTTATCACTGTTATTATTATTATAAATATTAAGACTAAAATTGAATCATTGACTTGCGATTTTGATTTGTTTTAGGAATTTGGAGAATGGACAGATGGTTGAGTTGCCAATCTTTCCAAGAGAACGCCTCAATCTCAAAACTTTTCTGGGAAGTGGAGCGTTTGGGGAAGTGTTTGAGGGTCAGGCTGAGGACATTCTTGGGGAAGGCAAAGGTATTACTAAGGTTGCTGTTAAGGTAAGTTGTATACATACATGCAAACTAATTCTGATACATTCAAATACTGCAAATGTTAATTATAACATGAGATCCATATAGCAGTCCCTATGGTACTGTGTAGTCATATATAATAATATTATTAATATTAATATTATGTGCTTGTACAGCGCATACTGCTAGAGCCTCTATGCGATTCCAGAGAATTAGAGAAAAATGGAAAAGTGTACAATTAAAAAGCAATTCAAAATCAAAAAGAAAAGAAAACGACAAAAAGAGAATGTTAATATAATAAAATTTATTTTATCTTCTTAGACATTAAGGGACAAATCAACAGACCAAGAAAAAGAAGAATTCTTAAAAGAAGCTGTTTTAATGGGGTAAGTTTTTTTTCCAAGATTGAATTTAATTTGTTTGTATATTCCATCAATCTTATTATATCAGATAACAGTTTCTTGCCAAACTCTACTACTGTCATTTAGTAACATTCACAAATGGGAAATCTGTACAGACTTTGGAAAAATGTTTCAAGATTAAATTGACTGATGTCGTCTTAATTCTGTTTAACCTTTCCTTGTAGTAACTTCAAACATCCGAACATCCTGGCACTTTTGGGAGTATGCCTTGACAACGACCCCCAGTACATCATTTTGGAGCTGATGGAAGGTGGAGATCTTCTAAATTACTTGAGAGCTGGACGTGGTATTGCTGGCGGTCCTGCCAAACTCACCTTGCTCAACCTGATAGATATCATTATTGATGTAGCCGCGGGCTGCAAGTATCTGGAATCTATGCATTTTGTACACAGGTGAGATTGATTGAGTGGTTTTATTGCAGTGGCGTATCTAGAAGTCTTGAAATGGGGGTGCTGATGGGGGAGGGGAACAAGAAGGTGAAGTGGGGGGGGCTTGATGATCAGTTGAGGGGCGCTAACTCATAAAATAGGGTGATGATAAGTGATTTTAACTACTTGCAAGTGATTTTTGGGAGGGGGGGACTGGGGGACACAAGTAATTTTTGGAGGGCCATGCGCTCCCCCCTCCCCAAGATAAAAAAGCAGAGGCATGAAGGAAAAAACCTTTAACCTGACTAAACTTACTAGTTGTAATGCAAAACATAAAGTATAGTTTTCTTGATAAGTTACCAAATAAAAATTCCTGCATTGTTACTTTTATTCATTTCTAAATTTATATTTAAAGATTTATCGTCTTTTATTATGTGATATCCTTTGAAAACTCAAATAAAACATGGAATATAAGCCAATAACTTAAAAATCAACACTTTTTTATGATTTATAATGACTTTTTACTACAAAAATCCTTAAACTGAATAGTTATATTAAATTTATAATAATCATTAACATCAATTTTCATTGTTCTTACTTTCATCAAAGGGACATAGCAGCTAGGAACTGTTTGGTGTCCACAAAAGCCTACGGTGTAGAAGACTGCTCGGTGAAGATTGGTGACTTTGGCTTGGCCCGTGATGTCTACAAAAGTGATTATTATCGCAAAGAAGGTGAGGGATTGCTACCGGTTCGCTGGATGCCTCCAGAAGCCATTATGGATGGAGTGTTTACAAATTTTTCAGACGTTTGGTAAGTATAGTTTAGACTTTCTAACATTTTACAAAGCCATTAAAATGTATTTGTGCTTTATAAGTTTACCACAGATAGTGGTTTGATTGTTGTCTAAATCTAAATTTTTAGTTGTGATTATTTTTCACAATTATTTTGTAGTTAGTCTTTGTAATATAAACATATAATTGTTTCAAAGAAGTGAAAATATTTTAAGAATCCTTGATGAATTGTCAAAAAAGTTTAAGGTTTATTCACATTATTAGGTCTTATGGGATGTATACACTGTGATTTGCCCATACAGGTATTTGGGTTTGATATGGTATCACCATGCCCATATATGGGCCAACTACAGATATTTGTCACAGGAGATGTGATAGTGTGGATATAGCATTAGGGAGTGAAGCTTTTCTTATACAGCGAGAATAATCATCTTTGAATTTGGTTTAGATCGAACTTAGAACCTTGCGATGCGAAGGCAGGCATCCTACCTACAAAACCTTCACTGCATTCTTATAGATGATGACGCCCACAGATTCATCAATTTTCATTTGCATTTTTGCAGGGCATTTGGTATTGTTCTGTGGGAGGTTTTGACGTTAGGCCAGCAGCCATATCCAGCAAGATCTAACGTAGAAGTACTGCAATTTGTCACTGAGGGAGGACGATTGGACAGCCCGGAAAATTGCCCAGACGATATGTATGTCAAAAAATTTATTATATTTAGTTTAATTGTAATTTTGTCTAGAAGATGAAAGCTTAAAGGCAGGCTCTGGAGGAAAACAAATTGTTTGATATGTTGTTTTTAAAGACATAAAAAGTGTGTTTGATGAAAAACATGGGGATGGTAATGAGAGACAGATTTTTGAATATTTTAAAAACTGGTTGAAAAAAGTGTGGTTACACTGAAACACGGACTGAGCACATGAACCTTAAAGTGGGTGCCCTGAGTCGTGGAGTTAATTAGCTTTAACCATAAATTGCGTGCCCTAAACCAAGAAACTGATCACCCTGAATCATAAAGTGTGTGCCCTGAACTATAGTGTGGATTAGAGTACCCTTGTATGAGGACCCTATTATGCAAATTGGCTGACTCACCTCAATCTACTCTGTTTACAAATATTTTCCCCCCTGACAATTTATATTAAAATTTTTTTTAAATAGGTCAGTCACTATTCTCAGACAAGAAAAAACCTTGATATTAAATAATGAAATATGTTAAGCAATTACGGAGCTGAAATTGTTCAAAATCAGCTGATTATTGTTTTTCAGATTCTTCTTCCTTTTCGGAGCAAATGTCATTGTTGAAGGCTACTGCTACACTGGCTCTAGGTTTTGCATTTTTTTACGCGATGCATACACGATTAATAATCTTATTTTATTAAATGAACAAACTTATTTTATTAGTACACTTTATTACAGACACTAATATTAATAATAATAGTAATAATAATAGTAATAATAATAAATAAATTTAAAAAAGTAATAATCATAAATTTCCCCATGAAATTTCCCCATAGTGGGATTAATAAAGTATCCTTGTATCCTTGTAATTTTATTTTTTAAAATTTTTATTATTTATTTAGGCACACAATACATGTGCCAAGGATTGCCAATAGTGAATGTATATCACTGTCCTATTTGTAGGCGACAATCCCTTACACAAGACAAACATATACACACGATGCTTTACACAAACTAAATCTCAATATGAGATTTAGGGAGTGGAGTTGTTTTGGTCGTGAGAAAAAAATCCTGCAACACTGGCAGGAATTGAACCCAGGACCATGGGATTGGAAGGCAAGCATCTTAACCACCAAGCTATTCAACTCCACTACTAATGATAACAAATAATACTATTTATAATCCTGAACAACTTCCTAGGTGGCAAAATAAGGAAACGATTGTGTACCCTCCCTTCCTATCTATTTAATACTAAAGTACATTTTTAAAATACTTAAGCGGGGCACTCACTCCGCCCGTCGGTTGTCGGCCAACGCGATTCTACAAAGAACGCTACGCAACGACGGCACGTAATGGATCGTTATCCATTACGTTTTTAATGACAATCCATTCAGACAGCCACCATCATTCAGCAGACGGCATCGCGTCGTCCAGCGCTTACTAGGAACGGAGTTGGATTCGTTAGCTGAAGGTCGTACGACGCATAAGTGCCCGGCATTACACATCACAGTTTGATGTTCAGTTCTGAAAAATTTGTCGTCATTGTAATGGAGTGATCGCGTGTGCCAGATAAATTTGCATTACAACAATAGTGATTGTTTCAGACAGATTAAATCCACTTCTTGTTAACATTAAGATCTATCTTGATTGCCCAAGGTTAATAATTAAGAAGTGTTCATAAGCATGACCACAAAACATTTCATAGAAAAACAGCCACACTATACCGGAAAGCAAACAGTTTCATAACAATCGATGTATGAATACATGAAAGATGACATAAAATATTTATTACAGTGCATTATTTTTCTGCATTACAATGACCACGTAATAGTAAACATTCATTTCAGTAACCTGCACCTCACTTCAACGGTAATGTTTTGATAAATATATTGAAACATCTCAACCCAAAACTACATGTAATTGCTGTAGATGAGTTCCAAGCACCTCAGGGGTACTGTGTATGGAGCATCTATTTCATTTTTTAAAAGACGTCAACTTTATGGTTTAGAGATCCCATTCCATGACTAGTCCCTCTTTACAGTCTGACTGCCAGGGCTTTGAAAAAGTAGTATCAGCCACCGCCAGGCTTTTTAGCAAATTTTAACACTTTTCCGAAACTTGTTGAGAGTTCGTACAGTTTGTGATCAGATTGGCATGTGTAAATACTACAAAAATTACAAACGTTTTAGCTTTACAGTGGTACCAAACCCTTTATTCTAATGACAATCTGTGACCTGTAACAGTAAAATGAAAATGACTCACTTTTGGAGATTTACGCATTTTCGCACTACGAAGCTGAGATAATCGCGATTTTGTGAAAGTGAATCAATAACGCTCTACGCTAATGTAAACAAACAAATACTTACAGTCCAGACTGAATACAGTGTTCATATCGTTAGTACATGTTGGTAATTACCCATCTATAAAATTCCGTAAAAAAACCAGAAACACGGAGATATCCATGTTTGGCGGTCAAGTGTTGAGTTACCAAACACAGTGTTTGTCGGGCAGAGTGTTAATGGAGGAGAATAGGTTGTATATTTTGTATGATATACTGGTTCTAATAATTATGATAATCCATTTTAGATGTTAAGCGAAAAGTGATGATATGAATGGCAAATATCGTGTTAATATTGTAGATATCAATTGATGATTAAATGCTGGAGCAAGCAAGCCACTTCAAGACCATCGTTCCGATCTATAGTAGAAAGACTAGAAAACTTCAGGCGCAAGTCAAAAGCTATATCTGGTGCAGACGTCTTGGGCTTTGAAAGTAAGAAATTGTATCTCTTATATACTGTATCAGTCTTTGTTTTTGCTTTGTAATGCAAGATACAAGTATGCTTAACTAAAGAGTAATGATTAAAAGAGTTAAATTTATTTCTCACTCAAGGGATTTCTTTTTTATTTAATGTATCCAATGTATTATGATTTTTATATTTTGTTATGTGTAATAGTGTCTATAATGATAATTAAAAGTTTCAATCATTGTATATTTATATAGGTTATTGTTTAAATGAATAAAAAGGAAAAATAGGGGGTGGGGGAATAAGAGAAGTGAAGAGATGATTTATATTCATTTTATTGTATTTAATGTACCTTGAGTATTATGTTATATTATTGCAAATAAAAATAATTACTTAAATATAAGGTAGTAATGTTCTATTAAATGTATACATTATGCCTTTAGATTATGAAATTACCTTTAAAATATAATAAAAATTTTGAAAATTGAATTTAAATTTTATATTTCAATAAAAAAATGTTAAATAACCTAAATAGACAAAGCATGCAATCTGAATATTAATATTTTTTTTTACTCGTACACAGAAATTGTGACTTTACCAGGAGGCAAACCTTTTAATCACTGTGTCTGCCAAAAAATATATCGATCTCACTTTGAGATGTGTCAACTAAGTCACTTAATGAAGCTTAGCAATTGATATTTTTTTTATACTGTATATATCAAATTGAAAGTATCTATATGTGTGAAATGCTTTTTTTTTTTTTCACAACTCAATATCTATATTGCTGTAAATGCCTCTGAGAAACAATATCTTTTTGATTGGAATATCACCACAAGGTAACACAATACAGCTAAATGAAAATACAACAATTCAGGAATGGGACTTATATCCTTTCTGGGTGTGATGTCAGATATAGTTTTTAATCATTTTCAGTAACTTTTTTAAGTTTTTTCTTAATACATTAGAGATGGTAGCCAACAAAGGGAGATAGTCCCTGTACATAAGTGTTAGCTACCATTACTTAATTAACTTAAACTATTTAACTGAAACTATGAATAAAAAGACCTTAAATAAAAGCACAAAAATAAATAAAAAAACGACAGGTCGGGTTGGATTGTGTTATTTGTTGAACAGAATTAAGGTGTAGAAACTGAAACGAAGTTGACGATGTACTGTCATCCAAAAATTGTTGTGCTGTGCTGTGCGCCTAAATAAATAATAGAATGGAATATAGTAATTACGTACAGTATATGATTACATATTGTATTATTGTCTTTATTACCATGTTATTTTATTATCCTTATATTACCATTATAATTATTGTTATTTATATTATATGCTCTCTATTTCAGCTTCAGCCGGACTGAAACTGAACTACGCCAGGATTCAACCGTCCGCAGATGAGTACCTTGACCCTATCACGAGCAAGCAATCTCTCGTTCCTGATCCGCCTGCATTCACGGACATCGACCTGAGTGAACCGGCAAGCCCGACGGATTCCGGAATGGGAACTCTTAAAGATAACACAACAGATGAAGCGACTGGTGAAGAGGGAGGTGGCCTTAAGAAAAAAAATAGCTTACGTAATAGCCTCCGTAAAATGCTTCCTGGTTCTATCTCGGGGAAAACAAAGGAAAGAACACCTTTACCAGAATTATCCAGGCCACCACCTCGTGAATTTGATAACAGTAAATATTCTAAGACCCCTAGATACGGCCCCGCTCCAGTAAGTCGATCGGGGAGTAAAGTCTCGGCGATATCTGGACAGAAGCCGAACTATGACGAGAAAGGGTACAATGCCGAGCTTCCTCCACCGCCTCCATTTTCCACGCAGTCCTCCAGTCCAGTCGCCTCGCGTCCTGCAGGCCATGTACGGCAGCCGAACCCGTTCAGAGCTGATTCCGATGAGGAACAGGATAAGAGGAAGTACATTAATTCCAGCGTGATCAATGTATGAAAATAAGGGTGCAATGTTTATAAAAATGAATTTTAGCATGTTAAATGAGAGTGTGTGCTCCATGTAAAGGAACCATTCTTTCCATATCATATCATAGACTGCTTCTGCCATACTCAATTATCCAATAATTGTCCAATAAAAAAATTATCTGATAATTATCAAATAAAATTCCTGAGGGAATGGCCCTTTATTTGATAATTATAACTTTTGTTCTCTGTCATTGAGAAAAATATATTTGTTCAATGTTTATAATTAATTGGATAATTTTAGTTAAGAATTCAACAAGGATTGATGAGCGACCGAGATCATAATTGCCCCAAGGAATTCTCGTTCATGCATACAATTGTTTTCCCTGCATGGTGTATATAACAAGTATGCCCATACTTTCACAAGCAAATGCATTGGTTTAGTATTGTAGGTCCTCTCATTAACACAGATTCAATTTATAACAAGAGAACACAGATTGGGTCAAGTTTGAGAGGTTGGCTTATACACAATGGCTGAAAATTGCAAGCAGTAAATAGTGAGCCAGCAATCAAAATGGTAGATAGGTCTTTGCCTTAGAGCTTGTTATGTTTTTAATGAAATTTATTTCAGCATTGGTTCATTACACTTTTTGTCTGATGCACTCATAACTAGTAGAATTTTCATTCCAAATATTTTTTAGGGGGTGTTTTTGTATTTCATTTTTGCTTGAAAATGTCTCAAATGCTTGAGTGTGACCTTATACTTGGAGTTGACACAGGGTCATTTTATTTTAACAATAGAATTAAGGTTGCAGTATAAACAATGAAATCTTCCTCCGAGAGATGAAAATGTACATTGGTCGAAGGCTATATTGTGGTCCATGTTGAATCTGCACAATCGGTGCATTTTTTTGATAATTTTTATCAATTAATTTTTCACTTGCTGTTGTATATCCTGATACTGGTTGTATCTGCATATAAATGAAGATTCATGCTGCATTTTAACCATTCACAAACTGGACAGCTAAGGATGTTGATATTTTTCAATAGGAAAGATGAATGAGAGATTAAAAAGCAATGTATGTATACACACAGTGTGTATAATTTTGATGCTATTCAGTTTAAGCCATCCAAACATTAATAAATCTTCCTTGGAAGAATTTCTATGCAGTATAACTTAACCGTCTCAAAAGAAGAAATGCAATTTATGTTGAACTTCATTAAGAAATTAATTCTTAAAAATTATTATAAATTAGTAATTTAATAATAATGACAGCTATGTTTACCTATATTATAGTAATAATAATTATGATTATTAATATTATTATGATTATTATTATTATTATTGTTATTATTATAATTGTTATTATATATTGTAGTTTTTTCTTTTTATGTCAGACTGAATGTAACATATTTATATCCCACCTTGAATATTTTACCACCAAATATTAGAACTTACTGGTTTCTGAAACTGTTAGATGTCACCTTGAAGATACTGTTTTGAACTCATTCAAAACATTCCACAGTTTTTATGTCTGAATGTAAAAAATTACTTCTGCCTTTGTGAAAGTTTATACTTAAATATTGTGCCTTGATTTTATACTGGTGTCTGCAAGTCTTAATTTAAACATTTTAAAGATTTACATTATTTTTTTAAATGTTGGAGTGCTAATTTCAATTTTGATTATTTATAATATATGATATAAAACTACCCACATATATAATTTTGTTATAGTCCATCAGTTTTAGTACTCTGTTTTTACATTTTACAAAATTAAAATAAGTACAGCTAGTTATAAACAGTAACAAAATATATACAGTCATTTATAATGCTAAAGGTTTATTTGCTTGGCAGCCATTTAAGTGATTTTTTGTATTTGTGATGAATTAATATTACAGAGTAATATCTCATTACTTCATTTAGCAACTCTATTATTATTATATTATAACAGTGCATCATTAAGTATTTTTAGGAAACATATTTTTTTTGTATATATAGACTCAGGGTTGTAGATTTTATTATAACAGTATGCATGTAGGTATGTCGTGTATTGCCATTGTTAGTTTAAGCTGCTGCAAAATGCTTTAGTAGTATTTTTAAATATTTTAACTGCAAATATAATTAACTCAGTATATTATTATCCATGTTTTTATGTTGTAAATGTATATTTTTTATTATAATTACTTTAAGATAAATTAAATATTAACATGTAACATCGCCTTGATCAATTAGATACATACCCATTGCGTTGGTTTAGTTGTACCGTGGAGGTTTTTATTAGTGAATTATATTGCTCCACGTTTCTATAATTATATGCATTTTCAAATATCTTGGCTACCCTGCTAAATTTTTGCAATTCTTTCATCAATTCTGAAGCCAATTAATATCGCTCTATATAATTGTCATATTTATGCCACATTTTTGAAGTATGTTTTAGTTCTAGTTCTTGTCTGCACTCCCAGACTACTGACCTGAGGATGCCAATATGTTACATTTAAAATAAAAATAATTTACATTTAGAACAAGTATGACTGTACTCGATGCATTCAACGTGTTGAACATGTTGCCTCTCAGTGACAGGTGTACACACTGATTACGTTTCTGTCACTGTCACGGAGCAGTAATAATATTACTTTAATAATATTATTACTCCTCTGTTTTTGTTATAAGAAATAATGAATTTAGTCAAATTTCGACTGTTATGTGAATAATGAATTCTGTGCCAAGTATATATATGCAAATTGATTACTAATACCATTAAATTATATATTTATACATTATATTGATGACAAATAAATATTTGATCTTCAGTTTTATTGAGTCTGGTCTTGGTGTCTGTTATCAGAATGTATTTATCTACCGTCATTACGTATATGCATTGTGTTGATTTTTTTTTTATTAGTTTGACTCGGTAATTAGCATAAGAATTATATAATTATCAGTTCATCATGCCTGTCACCACCACATGGTAGGATTCGTTGAGTTTCCTCTCTGTCCATTAATTTCATCGATCCTGAAATGAACGAACAAGCTAATTAAGCTAAAATTTTTATTGGAAAAAAAATCGCAAAAATACACTGACAATTATAAAATCATGTAAGACTGCACAGTTTATATTTCATTACTTTAGTTATTGTCGCATTTTTGTGACCATCCATGGAACTTATTTGTTATTCGAAATAATATCTGTACAGTACTGTATATCACTTTTAACACTTTCCAAAACACTGTAACTACAATTCATATTATCTCATTATCAGCAACTATCGTTTATGCCCGACTGGGAAGAGGCGATATCCCTGACTGGAGCCGTAAGTGAGCTGGGTCATGTTCTGGGGCCTCTCGCCAGAATCCCTCGAAATAGATTTAGCGGGTGAAGCCCCCGGAAGCCCTGACAATAGTTTAGGCATTTGAAAGGCTTATTTAATAGTCTCATACTGCATTTTTTTTTATAAACAGCCACCTTCATTATTGACACCATGTTTGCTGCCATTTTTTGACTTATAATTCAACGATGGTTTGAGAAACAAAACCTTTAAGGTGCTCCTTATCAGTACAATATATAATCATACACAGCAATAACAAAGCATGGAGTGACTTTTTTTTTAAAGATAACCTTTGATATATATTCTGAGCAATCAACAGACGTAAATAATAAAAATGTAAAAAATATGTAAAAAGGTTTTAAAATACTTGGTGGTGGTCACAATCACCACACCCATGTCATAAACAAGAGCATCTTTAACATGTGTATTGACGACATCGTCGTTTGTGATTCGTCACTATTATTGTCGGCATCTTCTTAAAACTATAGATTCATTAATCTTGCCATTTTCGTCATATTCTGTCCATAAAAATGTCATTATTCAGAACTCGTGTCTGTCACATTATATAGACCACCGTCCCACACATATTTTTCATTGTCTCAACGTCATCGTCTCCAGTAGCAATGTCTACAACGTATGTACCGTCCCGCTAAGCCTTTGCCTTAAATATTGTTATTGTACAGTATTAAGGTCCCGACAGCGTACGGATACGATTGTGGAAAATGCCCGTATTCTGAGCTATTATTAACACTATCTGATTGGTTAGTTGTTAAATATAATATTGAAACTCCGTAAAGGCCTATTAATAGAAGGGAGATTTCGCAACTTTACTAAAGCGATGCTTCACTGTTCATTTTCGCACAGAGGCCCTAGGATTTTGGCATAGGACAGAATTTTTTAAATACTAAATTAGTTGCCTTATGGTGTTGATATAAATTTTACTATGTCCGAATCTTGATAAACCGTTGAAAATTGTCCTTTTTTTCTACTTGTTTAATTTCAGATATAAAATATACAAATAGCAGCCACTTAGTGGGTTTTTTACAATAGAAAAATGGCTAAAAAATGTCGATAACTGATAACGTAACCGTAATTGTTACCTATTTTGAAATTGCAAAACTCCCAACTGTCATTCGTCAATATTGTCACTATTCTGTCATATTAAAAACTGTTTTTAGTGCAATGTTTGTCTTTACACCTTCTATAAGTATTAGTAATATATTCGTTGCATCCTTTGTCACCATTACGTCTGAATCTCGTTCCATTTGTCACCGTCTGTACAAGATCACCTCAACCAACGTAGACCGCGTTTACACAACACAAATCGTAATGTTATTACTGTACAACTTACTCGCTATAGACTTATATCAGTCAAATTCAGTGTAAACAGCTACAAGCATAATTGGATTTTCATTACAGCAAGCGAGCATCATTAATTTCAATTCGACTAGGTCGCAGTTGAAGAGCGTGTTAATTTTAGTTTCGTGAATTAATTCGATTCTGTCGTGACACCATTTAATTATGATTGATAATTAATTTCAAGTCGTTGTGGTACGAACATGTAATCGAAGACGAGTTGACCAGATTTTGCAAATTCTGTTTGATAATTAAACGTTTTAATGGAATTTCGACTTTTTATAGTGTAAACTTGGTCGTAGTTTCCCGGCTGTTTCTGTCGGTTTTAGTCGTCGACAATATACAGTACTGTATTCATTGTCACTCTTTTAATAACCGTGACCAAAACTCTAGTTCCTAAATGTCAAGATTTTAAAATTTCATCTCCATCTTTGAATCGTTATAAAATTCCACTAACGATGTTTTGTACATTTCCCATTATTACTCCTACTGTAGCGTTCGTTGTCATCACTTCATCATTGCAGCATCATCATAAATGTCAACTTCGCTTTCGTTGTCATTTGTTCACATCGTCATACCCGGTCAAAAACTACAAAAAATCGAATATTCGTCACATTTGTCCCTTTTGTCACTGTCTTTTATCATGGTCAACTAAAAAAAAAATATCAAGTAGTCAAATCTGTCATAGTCGTGTTCTTTACTTCACTGTCTTGTATTCGTCGTATGTAGCATGGCACTGTCGATGGTCAGTATAGTCTCAATGTTAATATTGCATTTTCACAATTTTGGCACTCTTTAATCGTTCACTGCATGCTTGCAGTGGTTCAGCATCTGGTTGATTTAAGGTACTTGGACGATAGAATAAATTTTACTTTGGCGTTTCGTAGAATGTAAATTTGATTAAGCAGTTTTGATTCTGAGCTGGAAAACCTATGAAAGAAAAATAGAACGTGGTGGATAACTGTGGATGTAGACCTTACATCGAAAGCCTATTCAAATGCAAAAAAAAAAAAAAAAAAAAAAATACCATACTCATAATTTAGGCCTAATTAAGAAGTACACCCAAGAGCAAACCTAGGGTTATCATGGCCATCGGTGACCTACTGCATGGATTAGCCTACCTTCTCTCCTCATTTTAAGTTTATGTAAAAGTTTCATTCTATAAGTTACCGTATATTTAATACCATATTATCCGATATTGCATTGCTATTAACTATACTTGACAGAGAAATGTACTCACTAACCTTTGCCTTAGCTCCCGTTGGTGGTCGTTGCATAGTGAAACCATACGAAAAACGATTAATGTTATTCTTTGTTGTTTTCATTAACAAGTGTGATGGATTAGCACCGTAATCTAGAGTAATACGATTCGTGTACATGTACTACCTCAATTTGCAGAGTATATACTGACTTAAACCATGCTAGGCCTTGGCTATTCAATTCGCTTTATGATGAATTATTAATAAAATCGATTTTATCGGTTCTTTTTTTTATCAAGAGTGAGAGCCAAGGGAACACGCTAATACCTGTCTCTTATACACATCTTACTCTTTTGTTTTAAAAATGTTTCTTACTTTATAGCTATTCTGACTTACTTCGCTCCAAATATGACTGTCATTTAAAGCATTCCTTCTCCTTCGAAACTTCTTTCTACATTTCGTATGTTTTACAATCGTCCGTGCCTCTGCTTTTCGGTTATATGCATGTAATTTAGGAACAAAAATACACGCTAGAACAACGTACGCTGAACAAATCATCCCGCATGCGATTGTAAGTTGTTTACTATGCGTATGGTTACCCACCACAATATACACTAGTAGGATCGCAATCCACAGCATAGCATGTGATATGAAAGTATAAAATATAAACTTAGCTTCGTTAAAATTTCCTTCTTTGGTTCTGATGCGATAAGAGAATATTATACCGACGGTGTCCAGGGTCATTATGTAAAAAATTGCCAAGGTGTAGCAGTTGATCATCCCTGTGAACAAACATCCAATGCTCAAAACTGAGTTCACAGGATCTGGCTCTTTCGCTAAATTTGGATTTTTAATTATAAATCCGATCCCCATCAGGCAAAAATATGACAATATAATTATTAGCAATATCCATGCACTGTACTGCTTTTCATTTTCTGAATTTCGTCTATGAACAAGACACATGCACATGAGATTTATTTGACTTAGGATTATTGGCAACAATTGGATGATGGCACTGACAGCACAGGAGAGAGGCGTAGTAGGTGTAAAAGAAAACGTCGAGAAAAAAAAACAACAGATAATACTGACTAGAAGAGGAAACTTAAACACTTCTCCGCATGAAAAATACACAACTGTAGAACGTTGTTTAACAACGTAGAATAACACTAAACATAAAGTAAACATACACCCGACAGATGCTACAATACACATTGTCAAGGCGATAAAATTAGTTTTTGGGGTTAAGTAGAAATACGGAAGCTTTTGGCAACCATTTTTTGAAGAGTTGGTCATCTCTTCGTCTTTGCATTTAATGCATTTCAAGGCGTTCGTTGTATTACTATATTCTCCAGTAAGACACGGTATACACTCCCAACAACAATTATTTTCCCGATCAATTTGTTGTCGATATCCAAAATCGCAGTCTGCGCTGCAGAATGACTTTGGCGTTATAGAATCAGACGTACCTTTCCAAATTTGATCACAATTACTATCTGGCGCTGACCAAAATATTGTCGATTCATTGATATATAGGCCATTGTTTTCCGTCCACCTACCTATCAATTTTGGCGTAAAAGATAGTTGGCAATCGCTAGATGGAACATTAATGATATCATACCGAGCATAGGAAGCTAAGTCTCCATTTTCTTTAAACAATATCCTGTAGCTTCCATCATTTGTAAAATTGACTTCTTTCATGCATTCTAGCAAATCTTCAGAATCGGTTGAAATACCACACGCTTCCAACCCATATGCTACAACTTTTACCGAGTCCATTACAGACGACACTAATGCCTCACGAAGAAAAGGGTCATCGCTGGCAAAAGTTTCATTTCCAGTGCAAGCGGAAACATTTACTCTCTTTGAACGCGTTGTCAAATAGCAGTTATGCGTTTGTTCCCAGTATTGTGTCAGAAAGGGATCTTGGCAATCAACGACCTTCAGGTTCTGGAGATAATCTATAAATGCCGAGTCGCTGTTAAAGGGAACACTAACCCCCAACATTCCCTGAACTACTTTGTAATATTTTTCTTCAGCTAACATTGGTGACCACGACCATCCCTCGGATGCTAACCAAGTGTAGCCAAACATCTCGTTTTGTGCAAACACATCTAGAAGTCTCGCCATTGCAACCGCGTCAGCTATTGACACCAGCACTGTGATATTGCTCAATTTTCTGAAAAATACCAATAAATATGATATGTGGTATTTCTATTTTTCTGTAATTATTTAATCTAAAAAAAAAAATAATTTTAAACGTTTTACATATACAATAAATAATTAAACACCAAAGTGAAAAATTAATTTCAATGCTTTAATAATGTGGATGAATCTTATCCCCGACCCCCTCCAAAAAAAAAAAAAAAAAAAAAAAAAAAGAAGCTTGACAAACGTCAGCGATATGTTTTTGGCAAAAGGTCCAGTCCTTGCATGTCGATATTTCTAATTATTGGAATTAATTACAGAGCTTTTACAAGACTAAAATTAATATACAAACCTGAGATTATTGATAATATCTTGGAAATCTGAGTCCGTGAATTCAACATTGAAACGCGCTTGATAGGCGACGCAAACATTTCTAGCTTGTAACTGATTTACCAATAGTTCACTGCCTTTGATTCCGTACGCTATGTCGTCTGTGGATAAAACGATGATAGAAGACCACTGGAAATGTTGAACAATATCAGCTAATGCAATCATCTGGCTGTTGTCGCTGGGCACAGTCCGGAGGAAATAGCTGAAAATGGAAAAGATAAAACTAAACACAATTCAAGTATTTTTTAAATGATAGTACTTGACATAAATAAATAAAGAGATCGATCATTAAATCAATTGATTAATAGATCAACTAATGGATTAATCGATTAACCAATCGATCAACCAATCGATTAATCGATAAACCACTCGGTTAATCGGCCAACTAATCGATTAATTGATCGACCAATGGATTAATCGGCCAACTAATTAATTAATTGATCGATCAATCAATCGATTAATCGATCAATAAATCGATCAATCAATTAGCTAATAAATTGTCGATCGATTGATACCGATCAATGATCAATCAATCAATAGAAATAAATTGATTGATCGGTCAGTCGGTTAATTGATCAGTCAATCAATAGATCTATTATTCGTTTCGATAAATCGATCAATCAATCCAATTTAAAAAAAATCAAATCAATCTATACTATGCTACCTGCCACCTATTTAAAGTGTACAAGTAATACAGAAGTTGCACTTGTCTGCGCTTGTAAAACGATTAATGTTATTCTTTGTTGTTTTCATTAACAAGTGTGATGGATTAGCACCGTAATCTAGAGTAATACGATTCGTGTACATGTACTACCTCAATTTGCAGAGTATATACTGACTTAAACCATGCTAGGCCTTGGCTATTCAATTCGCTTTATGATGAATTATTAATAAAATCGATTTTATCGGTTCTTTTTTTTATCAAGAGTGAGAGCCAAGGGAACACGCTAATACTTTCTCTGACTATAGGTCCCACCCCTCTTAGTACTTCCACCAACCTAGATAGTTAAATTCATTTTATCAATTATGCTTATATACACAGCGGTTGAACTCTAACAGGCAAGTGAAAAACGAATTTTTACCTGAACTGAATATCAAATAATATGGTATTATTTTTCCGTATCTCTCCATAATATTTGCAAACTTTTCGTCAGATTTTTTTTTTCAAATAATTACTCTAAATATATAATTGACATAAAACATCTTGATTTTGGATATCTCTTTAAACCTCGTCTTCTCAAATTGATTTACGTTTATCTCTATGATTAATCCAGCACCCTAATAACTTGATTTAATGAATAAAATCTACACCATGCATTTACGGCAAACCTTGCGTAAACAGTAAAAACTGGACGTATTTATATGTATGCTAAGAAATAATTTTTACACCAACGACATGCTCTCTGTGGTGTATCTAGAAACTGTTAAAAATGAATTGACCTTTTAATATACGTTATACAAATTTCAATGAAACGCATATCAAAGCAAATTTATTTTGCATATTTATAGACTTAGTAAACATAATACATTGATTACCATTCTATTTAAGTGTTCATTAGAACTTATCTGTCCCTGTAAATTTAAATAGGCCTATACAACAGACAAAAAGACCAATGATGACGATAGGTCTAACCAGCGTCTTCCCAGACCCCCACTCTACGAATGCATCACATGTGTCTGTGTGTATGTGGGTTGGGAAGGAGGATGATGAGTTAGGCTTTGGTTGGTTGTCATACCTGTAACGTTTGTCACTTAATTCAGTGCTGGTTGCCAAGGGGCTCACTTCAGGAAGTTTGAATAAATTGAAGAGACTTGCAACAGAAAGCGCAGCGTCACTGTTCGACGGACCAATCACGGCCTTCATAACATCAGATCGAGTTGCTACTTCAGTATTTCTATTGAAAATATGACAAACAGAAACAATATAATCGTATCGTATTGGCTTTACCTATACTCTCTGGAAATATACATTTCAGATAACTTAATTAAAATAAATTTCTATTTGACATTTTAGGTCTAATTAGGTATAACTAATTTTCAACGTAGTAGGAATAAGCCTATATACTTTTAAAATAGTTCTCTGTAGAATATAACTTTCATAAGTCTAATCTATGTTTGATAATATAAATATTATTAAAATTATTGTAATAAATATTTTTATTATTGTTGTTACTCTTATTACTATTATTCGTGTTATTATTACATTATTATTATTATTATTATTATTATTATTATTATTATTATTATTATTATTATAATTATTATTATTATTGTTGTTGTTATTTTTCCTAAAGCTGGTTATTGTTGTTGTTGTTTTTATAGTTATTGTTACTGTTATTGCTATTGATATTATTATTTTTGTTGTTGTAAATGTTGTTTTGTTTTGTTGCTGTTAGTGGTGCAGCCATTGTTGGTTATTTTTCAAAATTATTATTACTATTACAACAATTATTTACTCTTGCTGTGGTGTAATATTCCGGTATTTCTTTATTCCAAACAAACAACATTTAAAATTAATTAAACAATATAGCATCACTGAGATACATCTGCATCTCGAGCTGTTGCATTTCATGGTAACATATTTAAGGCAAAACAGAAAAAAATTTAAATCCAACAAACTTGAATCAAAAATCAATTAAGGTAAGTATGCCGCTCTAAGTTTGCAACCATTAATTAGCTTCACCAGGTAATGTTAAAGGACGCTCATGTGGCGCACCGTGTCTGTGGTTGCTTTTGCCCTCACTGTTATTGTCACTATTTTATATTTCTAAAAAAAACGTATTATAAGATCGGATATTATGACAATACGTGTTTTGACCAATGCCAATAATCTACTAAAGCCATTCTATAACCAGTTACAGTACCATGCGTTTCTTAGTAGAATGAAAGATGGAAGTAGGCTGAATAGAAACGTTAACAATTAATACACTTAAAATAAAGCCTTGGCATTTAGTTTACAGACCGTATATCATAAACAAGATTATTATTTCTTTGTTTACGCGATACCAAATTCATTATATAATTTTTATTATTCTCATTATCATAATACAATTTTCCGGTTCTCATGTGTTAGAAAATATGAATATACACATATAAATCATCAGAGAAAGGTAAATGCAAATAAATATATAAACACACATATATATATATATATATATATATATATATATATATATACTATATTATACCATACTATACCATACTATACTATACAATATTATACTAAGTTACAAGTTTCCTTACGAACAGTGCGATGTCGATACTGCCGACGAAGATGCCTCAATGAAATCCATCGATGACGTCACTGCTAAATTCACATCTCCACAGTAGTCCCGGATGTCAAACCCTGCGTAAATAAATTACAAAAATTAATATAACTCATTTAATAATTATTATTATGCAAGTCATTGCTGTTTGTGAAGGTCTTTCTCATTTTTACATTAATATAGGCCTATGTATTTACTTTGAAATTATTTTGTGTGTACGCAGTATTAAGTGGATTGGAATTCTTAGTGGTTAAGGCGCCTACCTTCCATTCTATAAGTCCTTGGTTCAAATCCTATTACGCTAACAGGATATTTTTTTTTCACTAATAAAACAATTCCATCATTATATTTTCTTTATAAGTACACTATAATTTTATTTTCATAATGGGACTTAGTCTATGATGTAGATCATATTGTAATGAGACTTCATCTATGTAGTGCATCTTCTAAACAGGGAAAAGTGAACCATGTTCTAACTGTCTTGTGAAGGGATTTGCCGCTTACAAAAAGTGAATAAGTCCGCTGTTGAGCATATCTTATAAATTTAAGTTAATGCCTGCTGCTTTTTTTTTTTTCTAATTGGCAATAAAATTTGGATCTTGAAAAAAGTTGTATATAATTTGTGTTGTTTTTCAATGTATATATGTTTCATTCAGTACCGTATACTATCAGTGATAGCTCCATAAATTTGCCGACAAGGGGTCCAACATGTCCGACGGAGGGGTCCGAAGCAAGGAGCCGACTACAGCCACGTTCGGGGTCTTGGAAAAAATCACAGCGTTCACTTGGAGGGCTTAGTATTGTCCAAAATTTGCTTTTAAACCACAATATAAGAGATTGGCAATCAAAATAACGTTATTTGGACAGGCAAATTATTATTTTTTTTACTTTTGATCCGACTAGGACGACAGCGGGGTCCCGGCCTGTCCGACAAGGGGGATAAACGCCCACTGCCCAAGCTGGCACCACCACTAACCTATTGTGGAATAGTTATGATGAAACATGAAATTATATGTATTTGTGCCGCAGAACACAAAACAACTGGAAAATGGCGGGGTCGAAAAATCACCAATTTCAACAATAAGCCTGTATGGTTAATAAGTAAATTACAGTAGATACTGTACTATTTAAGTAATTAAGTATATAGTGAATTTTAAGCTTAAAGCTATTTTCTAAGTAGCATTTGTTTTCAAACATGTGTACTATTTTTGTAGTTCTATGTTGAGTATAAGCCCAAATACATTTATATGTACATATCAAATAATAATTTATTACTGTATACATACCTAAAGCTACGCATCAACATTGAGATGCATATACAAATTAAATTAAATTGAAATTAATAATGTAATAAGTAATAACAGTGTCAGTGACATACCGATTGGTGACAATACAATCAACCTCTGTAATTTGTGACTTGCCTAATTGGTATTTGGTGACAATAGTGTTGACTTATATAATTAGTATTTGGTAAAAGCACTGTTGACCTATCTAATTCGTATTTGATAACAATATTGTTGACCAATCTAATTAGTATTTGGTGACAATACTTTTTACCTATTTAATTAATATTTGGTGACAATAATGTTGACCTATCTAATTTTTATTTGGTGAGGATACTGTTGACATATCTAATTGGTTTTGGTGTCAATACCATCTTTGTGATTTGTATTAGATGACAATATCAAATTTTGAATTAGGAATATTGATGACAAAACAAAAATATTATTGCTTATTGTTTTGTTATTATAGTTAGTGAGCTCTCTATATATGTGGAGTATATTTACTTTCTTTGGTTGATCTTACAAAGGCTGTTTAAACTGTTAAAAAACAAAGTACACACATTGTTGATTGATTGATTGATTGTTGACTTTTTAATACTAATATGCTTTCATGAGAGCTACCATATCCTACTATCTATAGTACCTGTCTCTTATACACATCTAGATGTGTATAAGAGACAGGGTCCAACATGTCCGACGGAGGGGTCCGAAACAAGGGGTAAACCAGTGGCGTGGCCAGAATATTTTGGTAGGGGGAGGGGAGAAGTGTGGGTCCGTGATATTATGTGGGTGGGGGACAAGTGTTCCGATCGAAGGGAGAAAAAAATGCTGGGGCCAGGGGCCGCGAAGGGCCCCCGTCGGTGTCCAGGGGCGAACCCCCTGGAAAAGTTTTACAGTATGGCTATATAAATGGCTATCTTACGTGACCTCAGCCTGTTTGCTCTCAAATATACAGAACATTTTAAACCATGGTGAAAATATTGTATTTTGTATTCGAGCAATCATCGACATGTAGAAATGTCAATGAACCTTATTATCCACCTCAGGGGGGCCAGCGGGGGAGGCCAAAATCTGGGGGCCCTGACCCCACTCTGTCTATCCCCGTTAGCTACGCCACTGGGGCCGACTAGAGCCTCGGAATAAAAATCCTTGGTAGGGTTCATAGGGAGAGTTTTACGGCTTATTATGGTCCAAACTGTGCTTTTTAAATTTTTGATTCAAGGACCTCTTTGTGGCGTATTATAACAGGGGTGTCTAGGCCTTTCTGACAGGAGGGCAAAATGCCCTCTGCCCTTGCTGGCACCACTATTGTCTAGGCCTGTGAAAAAATTCACTTTTGGTTACAATTCAATTGC